AGATGGACAAATTCCTACAACTCTACAATCACCCAAAGCTAGATAAAGAAGAAATAGAACACCTAAACAGACCAATTACGATTAGCGAAATTGAAATGGTAATAAAAAACCTCCCCAAAAACAAAAGCCCAGGACCTGATGGATTTACAAATGAATTCTACCAAACATTCAGAGACGAATTGGTACCTATCCTTCACAAACTCTTCCAAAAAATTGAGAAGGAAGGTATAATACCTAACACGTTCTACGAAGCCAACATTACACTAATACCAAAACCGAACAAGGACAACACAAAAAAAGAAAACTATAGGCCAATCTCCCTAATGAACACTGATGCAAAAATCCTCAATAAAATTTTAGCTATCAGAATCCAACAGTGTATCCATAAGGTAATTCACCACGACCAAGTAGGATTCATTCCAGGGACACAAGGATGGTTTAACATCCGAAAATCAATCAACGTTATCCAACACATCAACAAAAAGAAATATAAAAGCCATATGATGATATCAATAGATGCTGAGAAAGCTTTCGACAAAGTGCAACACCCATTCATGATAAAAGCCCTTGAAATTCTTGGGATACAAGGAACGTACCTCAACATCATAAAGGCCATCTATGACAAGCCAACAGCCAGTATCATTCTCAATGGTGAAAAGCTGAAAGCAATTCCATTAAGATCTGGAACAAGACAAGGATGTCCACTTTCACCACTGCTTTTCAATATAATACTGGAAGTCCTAGCCAGAGCAATAAGACAAGAGAAAGACATCCAAGGAATCCAAATAGGAAAAGAAGAAGTCAAACTATCACTCTTTGCAGATGATATGATAATATACATAGAGAACCCCAAAAACTCCACAGAAAAACTAATTCAACTCATCAATCAGTTCAGTAAAGTGGCAGGATACAAAATCAACACGCAAAAGTCAGTAGCCTTCCTATATACAAACAATAAATCTGAAGAAGAAGAAATCAAAAAAACCATCCCTTTTCTTATTGAAACAAAAAAAATCAAATATTTGGGAATAAATCTAACAAAAGAGGTAAAGGACCTATACAAAGAAAACTATAAAACACTGTTAAAAGAAATAGAAGAAGACACAAAGAAATGGAAAGACATCCCCTGCTCATGGATTGGAAGAATAAACATTATTAAAATGGCCATCCTACCAAAAGCAATATACAGATTCAATGCTATTCCAATCAAGATTTCAATGTCATTCTTCAAAGAAATAGAACAATTATTGATGAAATTCATATGGAATCACAAAAAACCCCGAATAGCCAAAGCTCTCCTGAAAAAAAAAGAAGGGAATGGAGGCATCACACTCCCAGACTTCAAACTCTACTACAAAGCCACAATCATCAAAACTGCATAGTATTGGAACAAGAACAGACATACAGACCAATGGAATCGAATAGAAAATCCAGAAATAAACCCACAGATTTATGGTCAACTAATCTTTGACAAAGGAGCAAAGACTATGCATTGGAGCAAAGAAAGTTTGTTCAATAAATGGTGCTGGGAAAACTGGGTCGCTACATGCAAAAGAATGAAGCTTGACCACTACCTCACACCATATACAAAAATCAACTCAAAATGGATTAAAGAACTAGACATAAGACCTGAAACCATAAAATATATAGAAGGAAATATAGGCGAAACACTACGTGATTTGCACATCAAAGACATCTTTACAGACACATCACCCAAAGCAGTGATAGTGAAGGCAAAGATCAACAGCTGGGACTACATCAAATTAAAGAGCTTCTGCACAGCAAAAGAGACAATAACAAAAACAAAGAGAAACCCCACCAACTGGGAGAAAATTTTTGCACACAACACTAATGATAAAGGACTGATCACAAAAATCTGCAAAGAGCTGATGAGACTCAACAACAACAAAGAAAATAATCCAGTCAAAAAATGGACAGAAGAACTAAAAAGAAACTTCTCTGAAGAAGAAATGTGAATGGCCAACAGGCATATGAAAAAATGTTCAACATCACTTGCAATCAGGGAAATGCAAATCAAAACTACCATGAGATACCATCTTACACCAGTGAGAATAGCACATATTAAAAAACTAGCAACAACAAATGTTGGCGAGGTTGTGGAGAAAAAGGAACTCTTCTGCACTGTTGGTGGGAGTGCAAACTGGTCCAACCACTATGGAGAGCTGTGTGGAGATTTCTGGACCTACTAAACATAGAGCTTCCACAGGATCCAGCAATTCCACTCCTTGGTATTTACCCAAAGAACACAGAAACATCAATTCCAAAGAACACCTGCACCCCTATGTTTATAGCAGCACTGTTTACAATAGCTAAGCTTTGGAAACAGCCCAAATGCCCAAAAATAGATGACTGGATCAAGAAGATGTGGTACATATATACCATGGAATATTACTCAGCATTCAAAAAAGATAAACACATGCAATTTGCAGCAACATGGATGGCGCTGGAAGGGATCATGCTCAGCGAAATAAGCCAAAAAGAAAAAGAAAAATACCGGATGGTCTCACTCATAGCAGGAATCTAGAAAACTTAAATAAGGGACCAGGAAAATGAATAACTATAAGAAAGTGAAAATCAAAATCAACAAAAACTATGAACCAGAGACCCTTTTTGGGGGTGGGGGCGGGAGGGAGGGATTGGGGTCAGAATGGGGGATTGCAATTGTATGGGGAATATAAAAATAAAATTTATTAATTAAAAAAAAAAAAAAAACGAAAATACCATAAGTGAGGGACTCAAACAACTGACATCATGGACAAAAGTCAAAGACCATGAGTCAAGTCCTCAGTAGAGCTTTCATCCCCAGCATGACCCAGAGGGCTCCAAGTCCAGAAGTTAGCATTTTTTTTTTTTTGAGGCAGGTTATCTGCCTTTAAAATTTTCAATTGAGGACCTCCCTGGTGACTCAAGGGGTAAAAAAAAAAAAAAAAAAAAAAACTAGCAACAACAAATGTTGGCGAGGATGTAGAGAGAAAGGAACTCTCCTGTACCTTTGGTGGGAGTGCAAACTGGTCCAACCACTATGGAGAGCTGTGTGGAGATTTCTGGACCTATTAAAGACAGAGCTTCCATATGATCCAGCAATTCCACTTCTAGGTATTTACCCAAATGACACAGAAACAGTAATTCCAAAGGGCACCTGCATCCCTATGTTTATAGCAGCACTATTTACAATAGCTAAGCTATGGAAACAACCCAAATGCCCAAAAATAGATGACTGGATCAAGAAGATGTGGTACATATACACCATGGAATATTACTCAGCAATCAAAAAAGATAAAGACATGCAGTTTGCAGCAACATGGATGGAGCTAGAAGGGATCATGCTCAGTGAAATAAGTCAGAAAGAAAAAGAAAAATACCGGATGATCTCACTCATAGCAGGAATTTCAAAAACCTAAATAAGGGACCAGGAAAAAGACTAATCAATACAAACTAAAAATCAAAATCAACAAGCAACTATAAACCAGAGACACACTATGGAGGGGGTGGAGGGAAGGGGAGAGGAACGACTAGGATCAAAATAAGGGGGGGTGCAATTGTATGGGGAGTATAACCAAAATGATAATGCATACATTGTGCAAAAATGAGAATTGATGTAAGAATTATATAAAATAAAATATTAATTAAAAAGAAAAAGAGTCCTGAAACCAATCCCTCAAGGATACCAAGGGATGGCTTTAGTTAAGTTTGGGAGAAGTTATACACAGATTCTTGACTGCTCAGGGTTTGGCACCTCTACTACTTACTTGTTCAAGGTCAACTGTTCACATACCCCTACCCTGCCCTGCCCTATCCCTAAAATATTTAAAATCCAATTGACATTTACCTAAGAAGATAAGAGAATAAAAAACAAATGGAAATCAAAAACAATAATGGAAATGCAGGAAATACTATGTGCTTCAAGTACAGTAGTGTTAGCTGCAATAATCAAGGAAAACTTCATAGAGGAATTGGGTCTAGAATTGGGCCCTGAGAATATGAGGTTTTTCAGGAGGTTGTAAAAAAGGAAGTGGGCATTTCAGTACATCAAGCGGGAGAAGGGACCAGTTGAGCCGACCCACTGAGTGGGAATGCACTAGACGCACTTGCTAGAAGATAAGAGCAGCCTGGCCTAGACCTGCCGTGAGGGTTAGAGTAATTAAGAGGTTGCTGGGGCTGCACTGAAAGGCCTTGGATGCCAGATTAGAAATTTGGAATCTATCCTTTCTGCAATGAGCTGTCACTAAAGTTTTTTAAGGAGTTCCATGACTAACGTGATATCCTGGGAAGGAACTATGGGAGAACAGCGTACAGGACTCACGTGAGGCGGAAGAGGCCTGAGCACTGTGGCAGCTGCCAGAGTTAAAGGGACATACCAGGGGAAGAACTAGCAGGACAAAACCTTCACTGGATGACTGGATGGATATTAGTAATTTCTTTAATAGAAACAGGAAGCCAGACAGAGGACTCATTTTATGGGGAAAGAGTATATCAAGTTTGGGGCATGTAGAGACTGCACAGATGATGAAGAGGAGCTGGTTAAAGGTGCCCACTAGATAGTGACAAATGTGGAACCAGAGCTCAGGAGAAAAATTGGGGCTGGAAGTATGAATTTGGAAGTTGCCATTAGTGCTATTTTATTTATATGTATGACAATCTGGCCATAACTTTTAAGGTCATATTTAGTCGTATCCCTCACAAAATCTAATCTTGTGCTATGAGCACAATGCCATACCATAGTTGAATGACTTGAAGCTATGGTACCACTGCCTCATCTGTGATTGACATCAAATCTTTATCTCTATTAACACTAATTACAGGTCACTCTACCTGGAGACACTTAGTTGCTTAACCCTTCAGAAAACTCAACCAGTGGACAAAAACCTACTTCCCAATTATTTTCCTTGTCTAGAACCTGAAAATATTCTTAACATCAACTCTCATCTCATTCCCCCATTGATTGAAATAGCTAATTTCTTTTTCTTTTATCTTTTAAGTATAAGATCATCCCTACCCCAGGTACCCACCCCCTGCTGGTCTTGGTGAACCCCAAGAGTGGAGGGAGGCAAGGAGAAAGGTATGTTCTCTTCTCTCTCAAAATAAGGAGGCTGGGATAGCCTCATTCAGGCCTTTCTTTCCCTCAAATATAACAGAATGGACTGTGAAGACATATAGACTCAGGTTCAAATCCTACTCCTACCAGTTATCACTTGATGGCCCAGTTCAAGTGTCTTAACATCCTGTACTTTGGTTTCCTCCTCTATAATAATAACAACAACAACAACAACTAAAATAATGGTAACTGTTCCCCTCTCACAAGGTTGTTACAGGAATGAAAGTAAACACAGTACTTAGCCTATGAGCCAATATTATGACTCCCAGAGTCAAAAAGGTCTGAGATGCCCATATCTTTCCCAGCTTTTTCTTGATTTAAGAGATATGGTGGGACTCACCTGATTGGGACCTCCTAGTCTATCCCACCCTGGGAAGGCAGGGCACACACCTCACCACTGAAGGAAATGCTGAGTCTGCTGGAGCATGAAGAGATTGGGAGGAGAGATGGAGTGTGGGCAAAGCAGCACTTCCCCCCAGTCGTGCTCAGCTCTGGGGTCATGAACAGATGATACAGTGATCTGGAAGCCAGATCTAAAACAAATAAGCAGGGTTTAAGCAAGAATGATGAGAAGCCCCACCCCATTCCAAAGGACAGAGCTACCCTCTTGATCTCACCTAAGTGGTCTCAAGCTGGAGTCTTGATTGTGGCCTCCATTCCTTCCTGTCCCAACCCCACCTCTTGCATTTCTTCCCGTTTCAGGATTTGGGAGCTTTTCCTTTGAGGGGGTTCCTTTGTTTAGTTAAAAGGGCAGAATTGTACTAGAACACAAAACATGTGGGAGAAGGTCTTATGAAGGAAATAGCTTTAGGACAAGTGGAAATTCTGTTCTGTGGGTCTCTCTGCTTTACTCTTGCTGCAAGGGTGGTACTCCTGGGGTTGGGGGATAGAGTCTTGGGGGTGAAGTAGGCCTCAAACTGAGGTTTTGGGCAGGGGTGTTGCCAGTTGGACATGGAACTTCAGGGTATGCAGGACCTGCATTTAGTCTTCTCCCCATCGAGTTTAAATGGCCCGCATGTGTGGTCTTCCACTGACAAGGTGCTTACCTGTCATGACATCACCAATGACCATCTCCTTTCTCTCTCTACCTCTCTTCTTTTTTTCCATAGAATTCTTCGGAAATTCCACTACCTACTCAACCCCAAACAAGTTTTCAACCTGGACAACGGAGGCCCTACTCCAGGGTATGACAATACAATCCATACTTCTTATTTCTCCCCATCCCCCAGTAATCCTGGAAGGAGATAGCATCCTTCGCTGCCTTTCTCGTCACTTTTTTCTCTGGACTTGACCTTCCTGCCATTTTGGTTCTAATCTCTTCTTTTCCTCACATGTACCCTTACTTCTTCCTGGAGACTCAGGAACAACCATTATGGGTCACACAGGGAAATTGCCTCCTGTGCTTTATCCCAGAAAAAGTTGTTGGTTTTATAAGAAAGAAAAATTGCATATGCCAGTTATTCATTTGACAGGAAGGGCAGGCTGGTAAATTATTTTGTGTGCAAGGCTGTGTTAGCAAGTGTCTCCAGACTGAATCATCAGGGAAGAAAGAACTTTCTTAGCACAGTCAGTCAGTAATTCAGAATCTATACAGCTGACTCAAAGGTTCTGCTGTGTTCTGTTGTGGGGACATTTTAGCATCAAGATAAGTGGTTATTCAATGAAGTCCCTTTTTTTTCTGGATTATTCAATTTGGAGATTGTTAAGTACCCCACCTGGCTCTTCTCCTCAAGCTGTTTTCCTACTGGCTATTTCACTGTTCATTTAATAAGGGTTTAAGAGGAAGCAATGGGAGGAAACCAGGCAGCCCCTTTGCAGCTTGACTGGAGGGCTGGAGAAAAGAGCTGGTCCATGTTAGGGTAACATGATGAGAGTCACAAACAAACCAGCAACAGGACTGGAAGGCATCTCACCATACAGTTCCTGAACTCTGGAGACATCTCTTGGCCACCGAGGCTATCTCGTGACAGGTCCTTAGATCTGTGCATGCTGATGGGGCTCATGCTGACCCACAGTGCTTTGTGTAGTCTCCTGCACAACCTCCTAACCTGCATTTCTACTCTGGATTGAGCAAGATGGTCAGAGGCACTAGAGAAAGAACTACAAAAAAGAAAACCTGTCCTTGTCTTCAATTGTTTGACATGGAGCTATTTCTGGTGATAGTGGCGGTATAAGAGCCAATCAAAGGGAGAATTGTGGGTGTGGATTCAGGACTTCAGCACTATGAGTGGCTTTATGGCTCTGCTAAGATTTGTGACTGAGCTGCAGTCTGCAAAATACACCACCAGCCTATTCTCTTTTAGGGCATTCTAATATTTTTATGTACTACTCTAGCTGAACCTCATCCATCCTGGATTGTTTTTGCCATGGATGACAAGTCTGGTGGCAACTTCTAGGGCTAATGTGGCCTGAGCACCTCTGATGTAAGTGTGCATCTGTAACCAGGTGGCCCGTCTAGCTGAAGGAAGCCTCTGTTCAGAATTCACTTCCTATAGGAGAGTAGCATTCTACAAAGAGATGGGAAGGCAGGGAATGTTAATTTGCCTACACATACTTCCGTGACTCAGAAACCTCCAGGAGTCCGCTCAGACCAGACTGGGCAGAGAGGAAATATGGAGTCACCATCTCAGGTTCCCAAGTGCCACCCCAACATGTTCAGAGGCCCTATTTTCTCTAAAGCAGAGATTCCTAACCACATTTTGTGCTAGGAAATCACTTGGCAGTCTGATAAAGTATACAGACCCCTTCTCAGAATAATGTTTATTAATGCATAAAATGAAGTACACTGGATCACTGAGGAAATTAATTATATTGAAAAAACAGCTCCCAAGACATTTAAAAAACAAATTTGTGATATGGGAACATATGCAATTACAGACGTATTATAAGACAAGATCCAGAAACAGGTCTAATAACTATTATAAATTAAAAGCAGTGATAAGCATAAATGATAGTATGAATATCTTCCATAACTGTAATAAAACATTAAAATTATCTGTGATTTCAACTGCAGACAAAGTCACAGGTATCATTAATTCTTCTGTGATTTGTTGCCTACACTTATAGTTGAAGGAAATGCTAAATATAAGTTAGCACTGGGAGAGGTAAAAATGTAACATTTTCTTCTCCAAATTCACGGCTCTCTGGATTTGATCCCTAGAACCCTTGGAGGTTCATGAACCCCCAGATTAAAAGGTTAAGGTTCCTGAGGAAACATGGTGCTCCTTCCACTTAGGTCTAGATCCACAGGAAGCAGAAGAAAGGTCCAGCAAATTCCATGTATCTTCTTTAAAAGTCAAAGTATGAGGACAGAATAGGCAGAGGGAGGGCAGAGAAAGTCAAAACTTCAGAGGCTTCATTCTACTGGTGTCCCTAAAAAACAAATTATATATTCCTCTGCACAAATAGTAGAGAATCTGGAAAATCTTATTCTGTCTTTGTTGCATGCGAAATCAGTTCTCCTTATACAAGCTCATTCCCAGGGATCCTTCTCCCTACTCAGTGGCAGTGCTCAGTAAGTTCTGGTTTCAGAATGTTAACTGACCCTTTCAGCACTAATACAGGAATCCAGGTCATAATATTTTCCCAAGAACAGGGGAAACTGACGCAAGAAATGTCCACTGTCAGCTGCAACCTAGTACAAAAAATCATTTTCTCCTTCCCAGGTTGAACTTCTTCCGTGATACTCCAGACTTCCGTGTTTTGGCCTGTGGAGGAGATGGAACAGTTGGCTGGATTTTGGATTGCATTGGTAAGAATGAGTCGAGAGGGCCTTTATAGTTTATTATAGTGAATATATGTAAAATCAGAAAAAAGCAGTAAAAAGGAGAGCGAAATAGAGCCATGTCTTTCTTATTCATCCTGTATATATTCTTGGACCAATGCTTGACTAAATATCTGGGATTTTAAAAAAAAGAAAGACAATGGGAGGATTTGTACAGACACAGATATAACTGGTTAATTTCAGGCCTTGCCACAAAACCATCTGTCATGGCCAGGATTTGGGCAGTGGCAGGCCAGTCTAGATTTGGGAGTGAGGGTGGTGGCAGGGGTAAGGAACCAGGGCTGGGATTTGGGCAGATCCAGGATGGATGAAGGCCAAGAACTAAGCATAGACTCATCACTGAGGCAAACTGCCTTGAGATGACTCCTGGAGCCTGAATGTAGACAGCACATCTAAAAAGTGCCGATCCATGCCAGCAGTGAAAGACTACGCTATTTAGCATGCCTTGAGAAAGTGATAGTGGGGAGGACCTAGGCTGGAAATCAGGAGCCTGAGGTCTAGTCCAGTTTACTTTGGTTCTGTAGGTCCTTAGACATATCACCCCCAGTAAATGATGGAGACAGAGTCTGAAATTCTGAAATGGGATATTTTCAAGAGCTAATCCTAGAGAAGCCAGATAAACACTGACATGTAGAACCTAAGGACAGGAATAGCCAAGAGAATTGCCAGAGAGTGCGGTCATCCAAACCCAAGAGTAGACCCAGAGCAAAGAGCCCTGGGCAGCTTCTGTCTTCCCTTTGTTCATTTCACAAATACCGCTTTTGCGCCAGCCTCTCCTCAGGCCCTGGAGATGCAACAGCAAACCAACAGACAAAAGTCCTGCTCTCATGGAGCTTCTCTTCCAAAGGGAAGAGACAGGCAATAAACAAGTAGTCAGGAGATGATGAGACTATAACAGGGAGGGAGCTCCTACGTGAGGGAGGGGTTGCAATCTAAAACTAAGTGGTCAGGGAAGACTTCAGAGAGCACATGACCTCTGTGTGCAGGTCCAGAGGAGGGTGAATCGTGTAGATACCTGAGGGTACAGCAGTTCAGGGAGAAAGAATGGCAAATACAAGGTCCAGAGGCTGCTGCAGGCGACGGGAAGGCTGCAGAACATGTCAGAGCAGAGCGTGCGAGGGAGAGGGCTGCAGAGACCTTGCAGGGCTAGGTCACGAGGACAGGCAGTTGCATAGGATATGGCTTTCATACTCAGAAAGTTCCAAGACACTGGATGGTTATGAGCAAAGGAGGGACACACCAGATTATGAGAAAAAGGCAGAAGTAGGGAGACCAGCAAGGAGGGCCCTGCATAGGTAATCCAGGTGAGAGGTGACCAAGGCACCAACCACAGTGGAAACAGAGGCAGTGGTAAGAAGTGGTCAGATCCTGGACACCTTTCGAAGATGGAGCTAACAGGATTTGCAGACTGGATTTGGGAGATAAGAGGAAGAGTCAAGGATAGGCCAGTTAGAGACCCTGAACAGGCCAGGAGAAACCCTGAAAGGGGCAGGAGGCTTGGCTTTTAGGGGTCAACCATACAACACTTGGCTTGGGGCACAGACACCCGCACACCTACTGCCTTCTGCTCCCCCACAAGCACTTCGGTTTCCATAGACACAGCCCTGCCAAGCAACCACCCACGCTCTTCTGTCACCTCGGGCTCTGGAGTTGTTTGTGGGAGGAGGGAGGCGTCCTCTGGGAGCCTGGAAGTTAAAGCTGATCCGCAGAGTAGATGGCTGCGGTATCCGAGCTCTCTGCTCACATGATTCCCTCTCCATCAGAAAGAAAAAAGCGGACTTTGGTGAAAATTTTTCTAAAATTCATCTGTAGATGACACAGGGGGTGGAAGGTGCTCAAAGTCGAAAGAAAGAGGTCATTTGAGGGTCAAAGTCAAAAGAAAGAAGGTGCTTTCCCGGATTAGTGGTCCAAAGTGAAGGAACAGTGGGGTCAGCAAGAGGTGGAGCATGAAATCAGGCAGTTATTAGACCACCCAGAGCCCTGAAGGGTTTCTGGGGGAACAACTGCATTCAAGTCATTCATTCCAGAAATAGAAAAACACTCATTCAGTTCCTCATTACTCCATTTGGTCACCTGTCTGATTTGTTCTCTCCCTACAGCCAGAATGGTCTTTCCCAAATATCAGTGGCTCATGATGTGTGTAAAGTCCATGAGTGCCTTCCCTTATTAAGATAAAGACAAAATCCCTTCAACTGATCTACAGGGCTCTGGATGGGCTTGTGATCTGCCCATCTTTCAGTTTATTTCGTATATCCATGCCTCTCTCTGGACTCAAGGCACCCAGACCCTCTCTCAAATCCTTGAATGTTCCAGACTCCCTTCTACTACAGGACCTTTGCACAAGTTGTGCCCCCTGCCATTTTCTTGGTCAGCTTCAGTCAGTGTGTGCTTCCTTGGGGGAGCTTCCTGGATGCACATCCCAGCCTCAATCACTTCACTATAGGACCAGACTCTTCTTTCCAGTGTGACTATGAAATTATGCATAATTGATATAATGATGCCACTAATATCTGCCTCTCCCTCTTGACTGTAAGCATCATGCCAACCTAAGTCATGACTCTTTTGCTTATGCTTAGAGCCACAGCCCTTACATAGCAGCTGGCACATAGTAGGCCTATGTGCCAGTGACATGTGTGGAGAGACTGTTCCTCTGGGTGGTTACAGGATGTCCCTCCTAAGTGGGTAGTAGGTTATATACCTTCTAGGTTTGTGTAAGTCCATTCTATGATGTTCACACAATGATGAAATCACCTAAAGATACATTCCTCAGAACATATCCCCACTGTTAAGTGACACATCACTGTCATCAATTACAAGAGAGTGTAATGAGATTATCTTGATGCCAAAGAAACACTCTGGAAAGGCAACTGGTCCTACCTAGAACATGCAGGGAGGACTGCCTGGAGGTGGCATCTGAGTTGGGCAACAACTCAGACTTAAGGCAGCTTAAAAAGAGAACTTGTGATTTACAGCACTGAAAGCACTTTGGTGTGGTTGACATGTTGAGAGGGAGGTAGATGTGAGGAAGAAGAGGCCGGAGGGAAAGGTAGAGCTCTGAAAGGCCTCATGTGCATGGTAAAGGGTGATGGGAGCCATGACAGGAGAAACCATGCTCTAATGAGGACTAATGTGATTGGGCTGTGGTTCAAGGATTCCTCTCCTTGGTGAAAGTGTGGAGAACAAACACTGAGAAGGTAGATTTGGAACCTGAGAGGGCTGAGAGGGGCTGTTGCAGCAATACCAGTGGGAAGGAATCAGATGCCTGAACTCAGGCATCACCATGGGGATAAAGAAAAGAGATTGCTTAGAAATCTAATAAGGAGACAACACAGAGTAACTAACGTGGGAATGGATGCAGGGTGAGAGAGCAGGGCAAACCTAGGATGCCATCGAGGTTTCAATCCCTCACACAGTGTAGATGGTTGACCTACTGAAAAGAAAACATATGGAAATGAGACTTACAGGCAAGGGGTGGCATGAGTGAAGGCTGGGGGTGTAACTAGGGACAGTGTGTTCTGGGAACTATGAGAGCCAATCACCTTGTTCCATCCTGCCTCTCAATCCTACCGGTGTTGGTAATCTCACCCTGGGTCTTGCCTAAGGTCAATCACTCTGGTACAAGTCAGGTAGCAGGGTGGTGGGGCGGGGAAGAGGGGTAGGATTTATGGGCTTCCCATTTTGCTGAGGCATCCCTAGCATGAGCCTCATCTGCTGATTCCTGCATCCCCCTCCCTCCACCCTCCACTATCCACACTCCTCCAATCGTATTGCTTACACCTCCAGGGGACCAGATGCAGAGAGATTTGTGTATGTGGCACCCCTTGGAGCCCAGTGGGTAGCTTTGCCTCCCTCTTCAATTTTCCAGACTCAGACAACATGCTGCAGGAGCTCTCTCTACAGTCAGATTAAAAATACATGTTCTACTGGGCCTCCCAGGTGGCGCAGCGGTTGAGCGCTGGGTTGCGAAGCTGCCCGCGGCCTCTGCGGCGCCGGTTCGATCCCCGGCTGCTCCCCGGCCACCGAAGGAGGGTCCCACATGGCGCGCAGACCTCTCCTGCTGCCCGCTGCTCCCCTCGGCAGTGTACTTCGGTCCTTCTGCCTGCCCTGCTCTGGCTCTGGTGAATTCTCTCACCTCCCGGCTTCTGACTGTACCCAGTGCATGTATAAACCAAACAACCAAACAAACAAACAAATAGATAAATAAATAAGACATGCCTCTAGAAAATTAAAAAAATAATAATAAAAAAAAAAAAAATACATGTTCTACTATATTTCCTCTCATGGGAAACCATCATGGAAGATAAGATTAAGAATCTGTATAGGGCCTCCCCGGTGGCGCAGTGGTTGAGCGCTGGGTTGCGAAGCTGCCCGCAGCCTCTGCTGTGCTGGTTCGATCCCCGGCTGCTCCCCAGCCACCAGAGGAGGGTCCCACATGGCGCACTGGACCTCTCCTGCCGCCCGCTGTTCCCCTCAGCAGTGTACTTCGGTCCTTCTGCCTGTTCTGCATCCTGCTCTGACTCTGGTGAATTCTCTCACCCTCCCGCGCTTCTGACTATACCCAGTGCTTGTATAAATAAATAAATAAACCTTAAAAAAAAAAAAAAAAAGAAAAGAAACTAAACTTTAAAAAAAAAAAAAAAAAAGAATCTGTATATTAGCAAGTCTGGGAGGTGGCAAACCGGTATCTGGGTGCCAAATAACATCTGAAAGGTGTGCTTGTTAGACACAATACAAGTTTTTAACTTTTGAACTTGAGTGACTTCCAAATGCCCCACCATGCCCTGCACCTGCCTAGCCCCTGAAGAGAGGAGGAGCATGGGCATGCAGCCACAGATCTGGGTTTGAGTACTGGCCCCAAAATTACTCTTCTCTGAACCTCAGTGTCTCATCTGTAGGGAGAAAGATAATACCTACAAGATTGGTCTGAGGCATAAATGCAGTGTTAATTATCATTAAAGGTTAAAACTGTGCAACTGAATGTTTTTTCAGGTATATGCTGTCACTCCAAAGGAAGAATTAGAATGAAATGAGGATAAATATGTGCAAGTCACAGGGAGACAGATTTAGCCCCTCATGAAAGAATCCTTTGTTCCAGCTGACTTTAGGAAGGAGTGTGTCCCTCGTCGTGGGAGACATTCAAACCAATGATATGGGGTGGGGCAGGGGGTGGGGGCAGACATCAGATTAGGGGCAACTAGATAGATTGATCATTCTGTAATCCCCTAGCATAAGGTTCTTTCATCCTCTGCATGGTTTGCAGATAAGGCCAACTTCACGAAGCATCCACCGGTGGCTGTCCTGCCTCTTGGAACAGGAAATGACCTGGCCCGCTGTCTCCGCTGGGGAGGAGGTGAGTCTGTGCAAGGGTGCTATCCTGGGACAAGCGTTCCAGTCTACAGGGATGTTCTGCACAGCTAGGCTGAACTTCCCTGTTAGCGATCACATTCTGCAGAGTAACACTCAACTCTGGAGTCATGTCTGTTCCCTGGCTGTGGCCCTACCCTCTCCATGCTTAGGCCCATGCTTACTCCTCACTATATTTACTGTCATCCTGAAACTATTAGCTTAGAGTCGGCCTTTCCCAGTGGAAAACATGCAAGTTAGAGTCTCATTTGTCTTCCCTAGTGCCCACCCGCAAAGGGGCCCAATTAGATGTTTTCTGCATGAAATTCCTTCTCTCCAAATTACTGCTCAGCTTCTAAATTAAAACTCCTAGAATGCAGGCCAAAAAGCCACATCACCAGCTACTAGAAGCATCCAGATCACCTGAGGTCCCCCTAGCCAAGGGTCCTCATTCTGAAATTCCCCTCAGGTGGAACACAGAGTGGTAACAACATTACAGGGCAAGGGGAGTGAGTTAAGGAGAACTTTACAGGTTTCAGTACCCCCCACAGTGCTAGGCGTGCTCCAGAGAGGGGAGACGTTCTGTTAGCACATGGGGTATAGGCATGGAATGTATGCAGGATTGGGATTGGACTTGACTGGCTGGACAATTCAGCGAGCCATTCAAGACAGGCTGGGCAGGGGTCCATGTTTCAGATTGGTAAGTGCTTTGTGGGCAGGGGCAGGAGAAGCAAGAGCCAGCCCTGGAAGGCACGTGATCCTCAACCACACAGTGAAGATCTCCCAGGGTCCTCTGACACACTGAGGCTGGGAAGGACCATCTGTTCTAAAGGGACCAGCAGAGTAGCCCCACCCTCAGGGCATGGAGGCAGCAGAGTAAGGCACAGCATTCACGCGGAAAAGCAGCTCTATGCACCCAGATAGCTGCAAAGCCCTGGCTACATGGTCACCATCATTGCTGTCCAGTGGGACACCCCTGAAGGAGCTAACCAAAGCCCCAACAATTTGAAAATATTCTCAAGTTTGCTCCCAAGCTGAGAGGAACATGGGAGCAGTTTGTCTCTCACACTAACCTCTCATTTATGATTCACTTTCCTTCTATAACTGCACAACAAGTTATCATATATGTAGACACTTAAAATTTCCATGTATTAGGTCACAGTCCGATAGGCCTGAAGCCCGGGAACATACAGGGACATGCTCGGTGCCTCCCAAGCTGTACTCACTGTTGGAGGCTCTGCTGCTCCCTTAAGTCTCTGAGGGAAGAATCTGCTTCTGAGCTATTCAGACCATGATCAAATTCTTAGTGGCTGTGGGACTGAGGTCCCTGTTTCCTTGCTGGTTGTCAATAGGGATCCCTCCCAGGTCCTAGAGGCCTCTTTTACCAAACAGATCCCTACATCTCCAAAGCTAGCAACAGAGAAGCTCCCTGATGTCAGATCCCCCTAAACTTTGAATCTATTTCTCAAGGAAAAACCCAGACCTAAGGGCTCACCTGATGAGGTCATATCCACCCAAGATAATCTTCCTTAAACCATGGAAGTGACTATGCTGTCTTATTCACAGGTCCCAGAGGGCTGGGTTTGGGGGGGGGTCACAAGGTATATAAATGGGGTGAGGGGAGGACAGGAATCATGGGGACCAACTTAAATTTCTACCTACCATACTGTCAGTCTCTGCAGTTACAAGGTCCTGGAACAGATCCTTTGTTCTTCCCAAGTACGGCTTCCCAACCATCCAGCCCACCAATTCACTAGGACCTGCTTCAGCTACACAGGCCTGCCCACCTTTGGCGAGCACCCAATCCCACCTTCCACTGCTCCAGCTTCCAAATCTTTCCAGTTTCTTGCTCTCTCTGTGACTCAGGATACCTAGTGTTTCTAACACACTGACATGCAGGGGAGTGTCCTGACCACAGGTACCCCTGGGGTTCCCTGCCCTGATAGCTGCCTATGTGTGCATGAGCAACAACCTAGCCATTCTGCTCTGAGGGCAAATGCAATGTTGCTTCGCAGGTTACGAAGGGGGCAGCCTGACTAAAATCCTGAAGGAGATCGAGCAGAGCCCCTTGATGATGCTGGACCGCTGGCATCTAGAAGTCCTCCCCAGAGAGGAAGTGGAGAACGGGGACCAGGTCCCATACAGCATCATGAACAACTATTTCTCCATTGGCGTGGTGAGTTGGCCAAGGATCTCGTTTCTGCATGGAATAGAAGTCCCCGGTGGCAGGAGAGATTCTAGCCTTCCACTGTTCCCTCTGGGTCCCTTCTCTTTTCTCGACCCAGCTGCCCCCAACCTTGACTTGGCACCAAGCAAGCATGCTCACATCCAGCCTTGGCATAGACACCCTGATTGTGCCAACCCCTATCCTTGATTATGGATGAAATTGCTTCCCCTATAATTTTAACTACGACAAAAAAGAACAGGACATTTTTTGAGTTATTTACCCTTTCATAATTTGAAGTGATTAGAGAAAGGCAACACCAACAAATAATCAAGGGACAAGGCCAGGAGGAGATTCTCATGTGAACTTCAGAGTTGGAATTTGATTCTCCAAAGAAGATTGTATAGACTCACACTGGCTTAGCGCTCAGAGTTCCTTCTCTCCTGTTCTCTCTCCTCCCTTCAGCCCCATTCTCCACTCTCCAGATGCTCACAAACCTCTGGGGTATCTCTTCTTGTCTGACTCCTTGTGCTGAGCTGCATGCTCTCTGTGGGTACCACACCAGCCCCCAATGCTCACCCCATCAATGCACTCTGCATTAGACTGAAGGAATTCATTTAATGTGCCCGCCTCACTCTCCTATATGCACGTGCATGCACAACCCATGCATGCAGACACACACAGTGCAAGGATAGTGCCATGTTCCTCTTGTGGCCCCTGCCCCTGCACATCTACTGCTGCTCAGTTAGTTTCCCTGAACTCAACTTCTAGTCCAAAGAAGATGGTGTGGGCAGTGATAGTGACAGGGTGGGGGAGAATAGGGAGCAATCATTTCATAAGTAGTGCTGGGGGTTGGGAGGTAGGAGCCACACAGTAGTGTGGATTGAGCACCTACTGTGTGCCCTCCCTGTGCTATGTATTCTAGTCCTCCCAGGAATCCTGCAGATGCCACTGTCCCCACCATCCCTGTACTTCAGTTGAGACCTGAGGAGAGCTAACTAGTAATGGATGAAACAAACCTGTGCCTAACTTTAAAACCAGCTTCCCTCCTCTCTGTTTTCTACCCTTAGAATAGTGCTTGGGCAGGTTGGAATTGCCTTTGGAATAATGTCCAAAGTTCTTAAGCACATGAAGTCCCTCCAGGCCCACCTCCAGCCCCAGACTGTATGATATGTACACTTATGGAGCCTCTTCACCTGTGCCTCTTCTGAAAATTTTGATTTTTTTTAAAGAAAATAAAGAGGGAACTGATAGATTAAAGAAAGAACAGGTTTAAGAAAAGGTTTTGTTTTTTAATAACACTAAAAGGAGAACCATAGAAGAGGAAAGGATTAAATGGAGTAATACCGTAGGTTTACAGGATTTAAAATTTACCATATCTGCAGATATGATTCTTATGCCCATACTGAAAGGCAGTATTATCTCCATTTTATCGGTGAGGAAAAGGAGTGAGATTAAAGGATTTGCTTTCATTTTCTGCCTCCTAATCCAACCCTCTTCTGCTATTAATAAAACAAAAGAAAGAGGCAATCCTGGACTCAAGATCAGGTTCTGAGAGGATGGAGGAGTTAGACTAGGAGCAAATACAGCGCTCACTGTGGCCAAACCTGGTTCCTCTCCTCAGCAACCCAGCCTCAGTTAGGGTAGACAGCTTCCCTAGCCTCTGCCAGCTCCCCCTCCAATGACCTAGCCAGGCCCCTTCTTCCTCTTGGCTCACACACCTCTCTGCTTTTGGATCACTTGCTCAGGTTCTAATTCTCCTCACAGGAACACACGGACTGCAAGTCAGACTTGATTGAATAGTGGATGTGCAGGTGGTCTGGAAGTAGGGAATTCCCAACATTATAGTTTGACAAAACACCTATCTTTCGCCTAGAGCAATGAGAGCAGAACTTTCTGACATTGAGTCCTGCTGCACACAGGGCAGTTGCCCATTGGTAGGCACAGTCCTTAGCCCTTTGCACTTTGCACTTGATAAGAAGGAGCTGTAGCTTAGAAAGATAGAGACAAGTCCAAACTGGTGAGCAGTGGAGGAGGGAGTCACCATTGTGGCACTCCACAGCCCACATAGCTGTGGACCACTGAGCCACGTAGCCTCTGCACAGCCTCTCCATCTTCATGCCACCAGGCTCTCAGAATTTTAGTGTGTGATGACTCCCCAGTGCCCTTTGTCCGAAATGCAAGTTCCACTCCATGCTAGATTCTGATTAGTTTTCTGATTCAACTGGTCTAAGCAAGGCATGGGAATTTGCATTTTTAACAAGCCCCTAAGATAATTCTGATGTACTTGTACCAATTTAGTCTTCAGTGAGTGAAATCAACCCATTAGTGCGAGAATTATTAAAGGAAATGGCTCTTCACGGCAGCAGAAACCAGAACTGAGAGAAAAGAAAAGGCAGACAGGAGGGGAAATCAACATCTCAGAGAAAACCTTACTTTATCTGGATAACTGAGCCCTAATCCCAAAAGCCAAGACTGATCATGCTTTTAAATCTTTCTCACAAATAAGGAAGGAGGGAAAGAGAGAAACAGAGGGAGAAAAGAGGGCCCAGGTTAATTGTCCCCCAAAGAAATGCATACAACATTCTCCATCACCCTCAGTGGTCAAGGTATTTATTTACCTGGGATGACTTAAAATAATTCAATCTGTTCAACTTTCAAATAATAATAAAACTTCACCATATCTCCCTCGTACTTTTTTTCATATACCTTTAGCTTGTGCACATTTCATATTTTATTGCAAAGCAGCGAACAACCAGGATTGTTTTTATCTCATTGGTGTACCCTAGCCTTCTCTCAATAAAATGTTTGCAGGGCTTGTGTGCTCGCTCTTTAAAAGTTGGAAAGGGAAATTCTTGAGAAAACAAGGAACCAACACGCAACCCTAACAGAATCTGGGTCTGACATTTGCAGAAGCTCTTGCTCCCTATTTGACTTCCCAAACTTTGTAAGAGGAGAAGTAGGTATGTAAACCAACCCACAGTTTTACTTCCTTATGATGATTACAGTCGGGCTCCTTTGGCAAAGAGAGCCCAGCAAAGTCTTTGCCTCTTTTGAAGGACTTAGAATATCTTATTAATATCAAATGTCTGTTGCTCTTATTTATAAAGATGATGACAATGACCGTTATGATATCCCTAGGTGGTGAAGAATTTGTCCTGATGAGTTCCCAGTATACTTGGTGCCAATATTTAATGGATAAGGGAATAAACAGGGTAGCTTCTCTTGGCCTATGCCGGAAATGAGTCACCCCATTGTCACCCCATTCCCATCACCCATGCCAGCTCCTCACCAGTGAAGAGTGGTGAGAGTTGGCCTTCTTAGTGCCCCTAACTGATAACATCCTTTGGCAGGAGATTTTAAACATAGTCATCCAGGATGCTACTTCCTCTGACTTCTCTGGCCTCCTCTTGCTCTTTATTTTTGGATTTGCAAAAATGTCAGAATGGCCAGGTATCAGTGACAGGAAGTTTGGGACGCTAAGTAATTCCTGGGGTATGTGTAACTCTGAATGCCTCAAAGGCTCTCCTTTCACCAAGCTTTAATAGGACCAGTGAGCAGCTAATCCCTTGATTCAATGAAATCTATTTCTGATACTAGGGAAACCCAGGGGCCAAGGAGAGGCCACAACACGTGGACCCATCTGTAAGGTTACAGATAGATGGCACTTACAGACATCGTTAATCAAGTTTCCATAACGATAAACCTCCTTCCTGAGAGTGAACTAATCAACAAGTCATCATTTTCCTTGCAAACTTTTGGATTCCCTCCACCTCAGGCTCTTGTATATCATCTTGTGAGAGCAATGAAGGTGCAAAGGCTGTAGGACTCCCTGAAAAGACCTGCTCTCATTTTCATTTTCCAATCTGCCATCATTTTTCAGAACAATCCAATTTGAAATAATCTGTGTTATGTCTCCTTTCTGTCTTTTTATCTCCACAAGTGGTCAAAGTGACTTAGAACTACATTGTCTACCACGCTGGCCACACGTGGTTATTGTTTAGTTGAATAGGGCTAAATTGAGAGATGCTATACCTGTAAAGTACACAACAAATTTCAAAAATGTAGTATGAAAAAAAGAACATAAAATATCTTGGATATTCTATAGTAATCACTTGTGATGAAATTATTTAAAATATAATATTCAAACTATAAGAAAGTGAAAATCAAAATCAACAAAAACTATGAACCAGAGACACTTTTTGGGGGGTGGGGGGCGGGAGGGGAGGGATTGGGGTCAGAATGGGGGGATTGCAATTGTATGGGGAATATAAAAATAAAATTTATTAATTAAAAAAAAGAATTATATAAAATAAAATATTAATTTAAAAAAAATAAATAAAATAAAATATATTCAAATATTCTTATCTTTTAGTGAAATTGAAATAAATTTAAAAAGTCTATTTTTTAAGATTTATTTTTATTTATTTTTTTATTATAAATTTTATTTTTATATTCCCAATACAATTGCGACCCCCTTATTTTGACCCCAATCCCTCCCCTCCCCCCATCCCCCATAGAGTGTCTCTGGTTCATAGGTTATTTGTTGATTTTGATTTTTTCTTTCTTATAGTTATTCTTTTTCCTCGTCCCTTATTTAAGTTTTCTAGATTCCTGCTATGAGTGAGACCATCCAGTATTTTTCTTTTTCTTTCTGGCTTATTTCGCTGAGCATGATCCCTTCCAGCGCCATCCATGTTGCTGCAAATTGCATGTGTTTATCTTTTTTGAATGCTGAGTAATCTTCCATGGTGTATATGTACCACATCTTCTTGATCCAGACATCTATTTTGGGGCATTTGGGTTGTTTCCAAAGCTTAGCTATTGTAAACAGTGCTGCTATAAACATAGGGGTACAGGTGCTCTTTGGAATTGATGTTTCTGTGTCCTTTGGGTAAATACCTAGGAGCAGAATTGCTGGATCATATGGAAGCTCTATGTTTAGTAGGTCCAGAAATCTCCACACAGCTCTCCATAGTCGTTGGGCCAGTTTGCACTCCCACCAACAGTGCAGGAGAGTTCCTTAAAAAGTCTTTCTAAATGTGGCTATCAGAACAATTTTCATTTATTTCTATTGGACAGCACAGATCTAGACATCCCAATATCTCAGAATCTAAATGACTTCTCTTAATATTTGAAAGGGGCACAGACTTTTATTGTCTGATCACACCTTTGAAGTTGTAGTTCAGTGGAAAGTAGCATGTTTCTACACCAGTCATCATCTCCTCTTTACCCCCAACTCAGAGAAAGGAACCCAAAGAGTGAAACTGTCAAAAATACCATTATCATTCCATGGGTTTGCAATCCCCATCTCCATTCCCTCCCTTCAGAACAAAAGTCTATCTTGCTGTAATTGTTACCAAGGATTGAACTCTTGGAGCACTGGTTTGCAGCATTTTTTTTTAAATATATGTTTATTCATGCACACAAGAGCTGGGGTACAGTCCAGAGATGCGGGGGGTGAGAGGATTCACCAGAGACAGAGTGGGGAACAGAACAGGCAGATTGACCAAAGTGCACTGCTGAGGGGAGCAGCAGGCGAGTCAGGAGAGGTCTGCTGCGCCATGTGGGTTCCTCCCTGGCCAGCTGGGGATTGAACTTGTGCTGCAGAGGCTGCAAATTGACCCATAGTACGGTGCCCAACCCCTTGCACCACCAAGGAGGCCCTGGTTTGCAGCATTTAAATGAGATTATTAGTGAATGTAAATATTCCCAGTCCAGTCCCAACACAGAGAAGAAGGTGAATATTGACTCTCTTTGTAGCGCCAGGGGAGAGAAATGTGGTTGAGTCTTTACCAGCATTGTCTTTACAAGACCGAATAGCAAAGGAGCTGCTCAACTCTTCCCTGCTTTCTGTATTTACCTGGGGATGACATTGCCCAGTTAGGAACCATACTTAACAAACATTATTGCAAAATCTAGTTATGGGGCTGTGGGGGGAAGATAATTGGAACTCCAGAGATTGGGGACCTGTGTGCACATATCCCAAAGAAAAAAAAGCCAGGAGCCAGTCACAGCAGTAGTGGGGGCGGGGGTGGTGAAGTTCAACATGTGATTGCTTTTTTCTTTTCTGACAGAAGAAAATTAGCGCTTCAAAGGAACACAAGTAGATGGAATGTTTTCTTGAATTCTAGAGAAGCATTTGACAGATGTCACATGAATCTTATTCAGCGTGTTCACTGAAACTTGCTGAGGGCGCGGGAGGCGGGAGGCAGGAGCAGTCCAGGGGCAGAAGGCAGCGCTGCCTGGAGACATCACAGGCTGCATGAGTCCAGGGGAGACGCCTCAGGAGCTTTGCATATGTCCCACCAGAGTCCACAGGGGTGCCTAGCCTTCAACTCTCCACATGTCCTAAAATAAAAACTGAAAGTAAATCAGTAACTAGAATTTAAATGTTAAACTCCGAAAATGTTATTTCAGGGAGGAATGTTTGCCAACCCAAATAAGCCCATATTCTTGACTTGCTGTCTCTGCTTTTAAATAGTGTGCTGTTAGCTGAGTTTATTCCTGTGACAAACAAGGATATTACAGAAGCTCCCCTTTGCCCCCTAATTTGCTTCTAGACTTTCTATGCCCACCATTGGCTTCTATTTTATTCACCCTACATAGCACATGATCAAAAAAAGCTTCACCAAACTGTACTTCCTGATGTTCAAAAAAAAAAAAAATCAACATTCAGGAATTTTCTTTTGTACAGTTTCCATATTGAGAAAAGAGTTAATATGCATTTGCTGAAAATTCACTGTATGTATGGAATTTCCATCTTCTTTTAGCACATATTCCAATAAATGAATTTCTCCATTTTTTTTCCTGCACAAAACTGAATCAACTGCCTTGATTCTGTGCCCCACCCTTCACCCCTAACCTCAGTTTGCCTGTTTATTTCTAAAGCTCACCACCTGCACCTAAAGTACTGGCCCGGAGCCTGACAGGGAAGGAGATGTTATACAGTCTTCTGCTGGGAAAATAGACCAATAGTGAGGGTGGAAGACCAAGTATGAGAAGGAGAGATGAGCTCAGAGTTGATTCTAGTGTATTCAGATGCTAGCAATAACTAGGAGAACTGGCCAGGACATGGAGGGTAGACTCAGAGGTAACTCAGGAAGTACTGGCCGGAGGATGGAGACCCTGGAAGCCTGGTGTCCTGGGAGCCACCCTGCCTGTGAGTTCTGAGGAGCAGGTGACCCCTACAGCAGCCATAGACCATGCAAATAGGAGAGCAGCCGAGAAACCCTAGAATGTGGTGATGAGATTAGATTCACTGAACTTGGTGACAGTCATTTCTGTGGCGTGATCAAGAAACAAAAGCCAGAAGTTTAATTTTTTTTAATTATCTGCTAAGCATGTTATCCACTACTACCACTTTTTCTACTGATCTGGATGATTAAGAGTTACTATATAACAGCCTCTGTCAACCTCAGTTTTCTATGTTGTTGGTGTACTACAGTTATGTAAGATGTTATCGCTGGGGAAGCTGAGTGAAAGGGATGCAGGAACGCTCTGTACTATTTTTGCAACTTTTTGTGAGTCTTAAAATATTCCAAAATAAAAAGTATTTTTAAAAAACAGAAGGAGTTAATATGGTGAGACGTTTCCAAAGATTCACACCCAGTCCCACTCCAGGTTCCTCTACACTCCAACTGCTCCCAGACCCAGACACCCTGTCCCTTCACAAAGGGCAGCAGTGACCCCTTCACATCCCCAACTACTGAAGTTCGGGGTGGGGGGCGATGACTGAATTTGCAAGGAGTCAACTGGCACAGGTTCTACAAGTGTTAGGGGCACTAGCCCCCAACCTTGATCACAGTGTCCCCCCTCTGTGGCCACCTTGTTCTCAGGATTGGGGGATTCAGGTGGAGCCTATGCTTTCCTTCCACATCACATAGCTGCACCCACTAACCATGGCCCCGCTTTCTTCTCTTTCCCTTTCAGGATGCTTCCATTGCACACAGATTCCACGTGATGAGAGAGAAACACCCTGAGAAATTCAACAGCAGGTAAGGGGGCCTGAGGCTCAGGTGATGTGGCTGCCACCCTGCAGCGCAGCTGGCCTCAGCTAGGTCTCACCTGACCTCATCCAAGTGTTCTGGGCCTCACCGCCTAAGAACTTTGCCTTCCTGTCACATTGCCAGAAGGACGGTTTCCATTTCCAAGAAGAAAACAATGTCAAAAACCTGCCTTGCCTTATGCTGGTCCCCCATCCCAGAGGATGCTGCACAGAAGGAGGGATGGGGGGGGGGCGACGCAAATGGTGGTGCCCCCCCTTGGGATGGGGTCTGTTCCTCCTGGCTGCAGGAACCACCTCCTGCTGGGCTTCTGCCGCTTTCTCAAAACATACAGCGCCCCCACCCTCAGCCCTTTGCGACTCCTATGAGGAAGAGCAGGCTGGGTGGAGGGGCCTCAACTTTTTCAGTCTCAAAGGGGTGGGGGACTGCAGTCCCAAAGGACCACAGCCATGAGGAACGAGAGTACATGACCTCTGCCTCCCCCACCAGCAGAGGGCAGCGGAGGGCGATCCCTGCAGAGGGCGGCAAGACAGGAGCCGCCCAGATACCCTCTCAGTCAGGATGTTAGGTCCAAAAATGACAGGAGAGAGAAAGCCAATTGTTTGCAAACAAAACAAAACCCTTCTTAACTGTCAATAGGAAATTTTCGAAAAATGAGTTGTGATTGGCAAGTAGCTATCCTCTGGAATTGTTAAATTACCTTTCTCCCATCTTCCTTTCTATTGGCCATTTTCCAGCCCTTCTCTTTCCCCTGTGTTATACCATTCCAAGATGACACTGGATCACTCACCCTAAGGAAGATGGGGAGGAGGGACTCAGACAGGATCTGCAGTGCTTCATTTCATTCTCCAAAGCAGAGGCCCAGGTGTTACGTGCAGCCATTGATTTAAAGCCTGCACCCAGGAACAGAAAAACTCCACCCTTTTCATCTGTAGCCCTTCCCCTGTGGCAGCCTGGGGGTTAACAGATAAAAAAGTCTTTTTAGGAATCAGAGATGGAACAAAACAAAAGTATTGCAGCTTCAGGAAAAGTGATCTGTGGTATCTAATAGTCAAACTGACCTTAGTAGGGCATGCATTGTGACAGCCCTAGTCTTTCCTGCTGGCCCATACACAGGCCACACACGCTCATGAAACACTATTAGCAGGTGTACTTTCAGCCCCCTGCCAACTATACTCACAAACTTACAAATCAATTCCCTTCTCACAATCTATTTCATTCGTAGATACACAAAGTCACTCCATCTCTTCTGTCCTCTTTGCACAGTTACCCTCATGCATACTCATGGACACAGTCTTATTAAGATGTCATATGCTTGTGAAATTCATGAGCATTTCTCCCTCCTTCCCTCCATCTCTCCTTCCCTCTCTTCCTTTCTCTTATTCAATGAATATATGTTTTGGCAATGTACGATATGCCAGGCACTGTTCTGTAGGTGTTTGGATAGACATGTGTAAGGGACTCACTGTGCAGTGGTGGGGACATACTGGAAGAGAAATAGACACCGCAAGGGCAAGGAACTTGGCATGGAGGGCTCAGACAGATGCTTGACTCAAGACACAGGAAACAAGTGTGTATCTGCCAGGTCGACAAGAAGAGAGGGCAACCAGGGAGAAGAATCAAATGTACAAAAGGATCCGAAGGACTGAGAGTACAGCATGCTGGGGAAAGAGAAGGTTACCTAGTGTGTGCATTGTGTGGTCTCCTGGCAAGAAAAGAAGCAAGACCTGTGTCGCTTGTAGAGAGCAACCAAGCAGAGAGAGGGAGAAATTTCCCCATATTCCAAAGTCAGTAGAAGGTCAACATCTGACATAAATAGAGCAATCACCTCCCTCCAGGATTAAGTACAATTAGACACATCTGTCAGTAAAAAAAAAAAAGTTAAGTGAGGATTCCAATACAAAGCATTGACAAATTCACTGCAACCTGAATGACTTTTTCCTTCTCTCTTCTATTGCAATTAGCAAAACTATTCCTTGCAGTGAGGTGCACCCTTCACCCTTCAGGTCAAGGTAAGGTGAGGTTAAGGTCAAGGTAAGGTGGTCCCTGGGATGACAGGCACAGGGATTGGCATGTAAATCCATGCTAAGTGCTTTTAAGTGAAGACATAGTGGAGGAGAGGAAGGCCCTGATTCGTAAGGTCCCAGAATGCTTCTTATTAAGCGTGAGTCCACGCTTCCTCTACCATGCCTGCTTGCTCATGTTGAAAATACCCAGGAGTGCCCTATTTGTCCACTGAGAGGCAGCCGAGCAGCCACTTTCTCCGGGCTTCCTTATTTAGCATTGGAGATAGTTTTAAATAGGCAGGTGGTTGTAACCATGGTTACCCCATTACACCAGAGGCTAAACTTAGGAAGGGCCACAAGGGATAGGAAGAAAGCTTGATACCCAGGATTTGGAAATGTAAACGATATTATCAAACAAGGCTTCATTTGACTCGGCTCAAGTTAGATTTTCCAAAGCATAGTCACTGCCTGGCTACAAGTCCCTACGTTTAATGCCCAGGGCGGTGTCCCCAGGGATAACCCTGAGGCTAAAATCTCGGGAATTGTAACTGTTTTGTTTTAAACAAGAGAGTGTGACTAGTCAGGACTAGAATTTATCAGGAAACTTGAATCTCTCACTGTGCTCATTCAGCTTTCTGAGCTATTCTACCAAGGTTTCTTAACCTAAAGCACAAGGCCTCAGGAACCCTGAGAGTGCCTTGAAGTTATAGGAAAGATATTGAGTGTATGTGTGTAGGGAGTAAGTTCATAACTATCAGAAGTTCATAAGGGGCCCCAAAATCTCAACTGGTTAAAAGTCACAGTACTGAGGCTTCTGAAGCCTGAAGTACATCAAATCATGATTCCACTTTGGGATTACAAGAAATTCTTCCCCAGTGGTTCTCTACACAGGTTGTTGCCAGGGAAGGTGGCTGGTTGCAGGAAAGTTACAAAGTTACATAGCTTTGTAAAGGAATAAGAGCTAGATCCAACATCCAGGAAGATGAGCCAAGTATGACCGGCAAGGGGGAAAAAAGCCATTCAGGGTAGAGATGGGGCTATGTTCAGCCCCACTTCTATACTGACAGACTAATTATTACTTGCTAATTTAAGAACATTATGAAAATTATCTTCTCATTGTTGGCATAAATTACAGAAGAGAGATTTAATTCAACTGAGATGGTAATGTGTTAGAAAGTGTTTTAGGTATTAAAGGTAAATAAGACATGGCCCTGTCTTCAAAGAATTCATAGTTAGGAAAAGTAATCTTGAAGAACTAGTTACAGTGACTTTCACATAAAAAGATTACATTTAAGGCCGTATGGCATACAGGAGATGGTATGGTATAAGATACTTATTAATGATTGTAGCTCTATATCACTTGTAAATTAATTATTCAGCATGGTGTCATGAAGGTATTATAATGGAACCAAATGGTGTTATACAGGAATGATATCAAGAACTGTTATTTTTTGAGTTCCTACTAAATGCTAGGTGAGAATCTAGATTCTTTAAATAGATTGGATTATTTAAATCCCAAAATAACTTCATACAATAAATATTAGCATTCCCATTTTACAGTTAAAGGAGCTGAGCCTGACAGAAGCTGAGTCATCAGACCAAGGTCTTACACCTTTGTAAGCAAAGGATCTGAGAGGATTCTTTTGTAGCTCCCAACTCTGTTTGCTGCACCTGCTGTCTCCCACAGATTTCATTTAGCAAACGCCTATTGCATATCAAACACTCTTTATACATGATCTCACTCAATTGTCACAGTAACAGGCAAGGGTAAGCGCTGCTGTCCCCATTTCAGAAATAGAGAGACTGAGGCTAAGGAGGGCAAAGCTATTATTGGCTTGATCCACCTCTGTGAATTGTCTCTGTGGGAAAATGCCTGCTGAGTTCCAGAGGGGACCACAGATACGCTGTCCACTCTTACCTTGTGTGCTATGCCTCTCTCCTTATCTCAATGTCTGCAAAAGGATAAGGACCAACTAATGATTTGCATGGCAAGGAGCAAAATTAAAATGCAAGACCTCTTGTTTGAAAATCATGAATAATTTCAAATCAGTGACAGCAGAGCACTAAACCAAGCCTAGGTCCTGGAAGTGGGGGCCCTATACAACTATTAAGATCTCACACTAATGAGCTGGCTCTAACAAAGAAAAGTTCATAAAAAAAGGGAGAGAACTTTGCCCTTGGAGAGTTTGCAATACAGACAAAAAGAATGGATGAAAGAGGGTTTCAAGGAGGGGAAAAAGGAGAGGGATTTTCAGTTCTTCAGACAGGCAGCAGTCAGTATTAGTGCATTGCATGGAGGTGCCACTAAAGTCTTCCAGATATCCAGTGCTCCATGAAGTTTCTGGATTAAGTCTTTGTGAAGGGTTTTGTATTTATGGACTATATACATAAAAGCTACCTAATTCCAATGTCACTGTCAGTAAGTGTCCAGGGAGAGAAGTCTAAGTATGGAATTTTTTGTTGTTGTCAGAAGCTCAGAGCCCTTGAGGAATGTGTTGTTCCAAACCTGTTGAGTGCCATCCACTTGAATATGTCCCTCAGCAGTTTAGGCTGAAGCAAGATATTTCCTGTTAGGTCCTTCAAAGGGACCGAAACAGTGCTTCATTCCTACCAGAGCTGACCACCTTTCCCAAAAACCCTTGTAATTAACAGGCCCTGGAGTGTTAGCTTTCCTGGACCCAGGCCATGGAGTACCTAATGAGGGGTTCCCCAAAAGCCCTAATGTAGCCTGAGTCCTTAAGTGGTTGGAAACACATCTTGCAAATAACTAAGCACTTAATAGATATTTATAGAAGGAGACAGCAGGGTATAGTCTAACTTGGCATCAAAACTTGGCTCTACAGCTTACTAGCTGTGTGACCTTGGGCAAGTTACTTAATCACTTAATCTCTTTAATCCTTTGCTTCCTTCCCCAAATATCTTTCGAGGTTGCTCTAAGTATTTAATGAGGTAATGTGTAAGTTCCCAGCACATAGTAGGGTCTCA